AGAACCGAGGGACTCAACGTTTCGAACAGTATGCTCTGCCCGTCGTCAGGAGAATGTTATTCACATGGTGCTACCGCAAACTTTTCTTGTCTTAGTATCTTTCCACCATGCAAACCTTCAAATCTCACGTTATGTCTATTTGAATAAAAAGATCACAAATGCTCGGCTGTCCAACTCTGATAATTCTATGAACTGGTTAATACACATTGAGTATTATGAAACATGGACGTTTTCCCACCTCGATGAATGAACGAGAACTTGCAAAGGATTTTTATATCGCTAACAACATTTCAGAAGAAAAAGGTTGACTTGTTCCTCATATGCAAACCATTACAACTGACAGCAAAAACAATGGTCTTGATTTCAATTATTAATATCTCATTTTAATGAATGCTTGTGTGTATTATCACTCAGAAGTACGCTCAAGGCACTCCAAGGACAGCTATAAAAATGGTTTCTTTAAGTAAAACAACTTCTGTTGGCATAGATCAATATCAGTAACTGCTTTTTTTTTTCAGATGAGTGGAAGAACATACTTCATTGTATCAAATTTTGTGTATCAAATTTGATTGCATTTTGAATCACCTTATGCACAACAACAATCGGGGGCGGAACCAGGAATTTTTGTGGAGGGGAGTTTCATCAGCAAATCAATGCTGAAATGTAGACAGGGTTTTTTTGTCCGGACACTTGGCTCCTTAAAATCAATAGGGGGATGGCTCGTACCATACTTTCAAAGCGGTCGCTGTTTAAATCCGACGATTATTAACAATATGTTACGGGATGTACAAATACCCCCTAACCCAGCAGGTTCTGTCCATATTTTGGGGAAAGGCGTATACCAGTATAATTTCTTGGGTGTCGGTGTAGGGGCGCTGGGCAGTACTATTGTACAGGATCACCCCGTAACGTCACACGAATGGGCTATTGTGTACACAGATGCATGCAAAGGCCTCAATTGAATAGCCATTCGGAACCAGTTGAATATAATTTTTTATGATTTGGGAAAAGCTTGGCTAGGCTTGACTTGTCTTTTTTTTGCCACAAGAACATTTAATTTTACCTCAAAATAAGTCATCAACTATTATTTACATCATTATGATGTTATCAAAATATAAAACAACAAACCAAAAAATTCGACGAAATGTATTTCTTTGTAGATTATGTTTATCAATCGAACCGGGGACATCTGTGGTTTAGTCGAGTAAACACACACAAAGACATGTAAAATTAGAACTAAAGGAAATTTGAGTGTCAATACGTTTGTGTTACATTTTGAAACGTGTAAATTATTTTCGCAAACGGACTTAATATTTCTTAATTATTAAATAACATTCCTAGAAACTAATACCCGACGACACCGAGACTGAAAATTTGATCAAAATGCGACGTGCAGAGGCAACTAATGGTTGTGTCTCTTTTGTTGATGTTCATACAAAATGCAAAAAGTCTGCTCGTCTATTTCCTTTCCACGCATGAAGCGGCACAAAGACGGATGATTTATGATGTCATTAGAGTTGTTTTCATTGAAAAGGTATTGTTGCTTTGATGCAAAGCGTTTGGGTATTATCATCTATGGAGAAGCTGTTAAGTTTGACGAACATGCAACGCATGATTGTATAGTTTTGGGAATTTGAAAGGTTATTGTTGGTATAATTATATACGTGCTTTTTCAAAATTTCAATTTTTCTTTTCCGAACGAAATGTAAAAGAATATAATGTCCTGCAACAAATACCCCCCCCCCGGCGCTCCCCATTTAAAATCTTGAAATTAGCACAAATTTGTCTTTGTCTTCAGTGCCCCAGATTTAATGTTGGCAATGAGAGCTTTTATAGTGATTTTTTTATCAAATCATTTCTCGTAATATATCCAACAAGAGTTTTGCTAATTTTCCGATATTCCAATTTAAGCCGTGAGAGTCGTTTTATCTTAATTATGTTCCAATATGATTTAAAGCAAATCTTGAATTTGTAAGTGTCATTTTTAGGCAACCTGTCATTAAAGACATTTTTGTGAATTTATGATTGTTAATGTTTAACGTGAAGTGAATTACTTTTCAACGGGATAAATAGGGGAAAACAAGGCAGAGGTGTGATTTCCTACGAAGCTTGGGGGAGTAATTTAAAACAAGATGAAAATAAAAAAAAACACAAATCAACTTCGACCCAAATCAAATCAATACCCTACAGTTTATCTCTTGTTCCTCTGCCAGTTTATTGTTCATATAAGAACGAGTGGGGAAACTGACCTCAAATCGAACAAGAAAGAATCCACGACAGTGCTTCGTCAATGGGATATCCATGCAGAACGAGATTTTTGCATGTCATCATCTCCACATCGTAAGTCGACTTGGCAAGATAATTTATCTCGACAAGTTGTCATCTCGACTTCAGGAAGTCGACTTAGCGAGATATTTCATCGGAACAAGTCGTCGTCTCGACTTCGAGAAGTCAACTTGGCGAGATAATACATCTGGACAAGTCGTCATCTCGACTTCGGATAGTCAACTTGACGAAATAATACATCTGGACAAGTCGTCATGTCGACTTATGGAAGTCGACTTGGAGAGATAATGCATCTGGACAAGTCACCAAGTCGACTTTATTAAGTCGACTTGGCGCGATAATAAATCTGGACAAGTCGTCAAGTCGACTTCGGTAAGTCGACTTAGCGATACAATTATGTGATTAAGTCGCCTTACTCTCGGCGATATGTCAACATGACGTGATAAATTATCCGAGTAAATAAAGAAGTGGATGGCACTCATGGAGCGCCGTAGTTTTCCAAGTCTAGTGGTCGCGCACTATTTAAGACATAATAAGCCTTTTCGGAGTTCCAACTGCGCATTCGTAACCTGTGACAACGCACATTATTTGTCTCAAATGACCTTTGACAACATCGCGCCACTGACTTTACAAAAAGGCTGTTTGTGCATTGTGGGCACTGTCAAAGGGCATTTGAGACAAATAATGTGTGTTGTCACAGGTTACGAATGCGCGCAGTTGGAACTCCGAAACATAGATATAGAATAAGACTAGATCGGCAGCGCGTCCACACGCGCGGACTTTCATGGAGGGTCACGTGCTGGAGGAAAGATACAAATAATGCGCGAAAACGTGACGAACGCAACGCCGTTTACGCGCACAGTGCATTATCGCTCACGCGTGGGCGCATCGCGTAAATACTCGGTGCGCATTTCTGGCTTCGCACGCGTTGAGCTTGGTCAAGTGCTGGAGGAAAGATACATATAGCTCCATTCTTCTTCTTCTTCATTCATTCAGTTTCATGATGACTTGATGAGTTGGGCCCAACTGTCCCTGTCGAGCATAGTGTTGGAAAGAGATGGACCACTCAGACCAATTTCTAGCTCGATGGATGTTTTCAGGGTCATGTTGGGACGACCTTTTCGTCGAGGGGCTTCAGGATTCCAGAGGAGAACTTGACTAGCTGGCTCATTATGTCGATAAACGTGACCGGCTAGCCGAAGGCGACGCTGTCTGATGGTGGTGGAGATAGGGGGAAGGCACCATACAGAACAGAGTTAGGGAGATGTTGTTGCCAAGAAACGTTCTGTACAGCCCGCAACATCCGTGTATAGGTGCCATCAATGGATGCAGAGATCTGTTTGGTCAGGGTCCAGGACTCGCAACCGTAGAGGAGGTGGATTCTACTGAGGTCTTGAAGATCTTAAGTTTGGTGGTCTTGGAGATCGAGGATCTCCATACTTTGGTCAGTGAGAACAGAGCAGACCAAGCTTGAGCTTTTCTATACTCGATGTCATGAGCTGTGTTGGTGTAGGAGCCCAGATACTTGAAGTCATCAACTTTATCGAGCTTACTGCCATCTAGTGCAGTGACGTCATCAGAGGTAGATGGGTTGATGACCATGTACTTAGTCTTCTTTGCGTTAAGAGAGAGACCAACGGACTTGCAGCAAGCTTCTACTTTATGGAGGAGAGATTCGGCATCAAGGAGGGTGTCAGCAAGCAGACTAATGTCATCTGCATAATCTAGGTCGGATAGGTATTGGGCAGGGTGTCTACTACTCCTACGGCGTGAGAGGGTGAGACCATCGGTTACATTTAATGCTGTCCGCAGGGCATAATCCAGAACTATGATGAAAGGTAGGGGGCGAGGGGATCACCTTGAAGAACTCCAGTGTTGACGGAGAACGAATCAGATTCACCTTCTGGAGTGAGAACAACAGCACTTGTATCTTCATACATAATTTTGATGGCATTAATGGTCTCCTCCGGGATACCGTAAGCATGCAGGATCTTAACATTGTTGGTCTGTCAACAGAGTCAAATGCTTTACGGAAATCGATGAAAATGATGGCAGCTTCCTTCTGGTGGTTTACGAATTTCCTCAATAAGGCGCCTGAGGGCAAGGATTTGAGATGAGGTAGAACGTAGAGGCCGAAAGCCACTTTGATTGGGACGGAGTATCTTCTCAACTTCCGGACGAATGCGATTCAGAAGTAGTCGATTGTATACCTTGGCAGCAGTTTGAGAGCTCCATTACTTTACGTTAATTTGTTGCGCGTCCACGAGGGACAGCAAAAATGGCGGAGATTTATCGCACAGTGAATGGGCGCGTGTGGACGCGCTGCCGATCTAGTCTTTTTATTCTATATCTATGCTCCGAAAAGGCTTATACGTGTACGCACAAAGTTGTGTGCGCGTATATGCACAGTCAAGGAGCAAGTGCATACCAGGCCTTGCAGAATTCCAGTGGATAGGCCTACGTCAGGCTCTGAGATATTTCCACCCATAACAGCACTTCGAGAGTTAACATTTACAAATGGCTTGAATGGCGCTGACCACTTCTTCGGGTATGCCATAGTGGCGTAATATGGAAAGCGTGACAGCTCTGTTGACGGAATCTAAGGCTTTCCTGAAGTCAATAAAAGTCATTCAGAATTAATTTGATCTGTTATGAATTCTTTCATACGATACTTACGACATCCAACAAAGAATCAATTGACGAAAGCGTAGAACTGGTGATTTCAGAAGATCGATCATGGACGCTTGCTTAATACCCTGAAATATTCATCAGAAATCGATATTCAAAAAGAGCCTAAACTGCGGATGGGGCAATCGAGAGACAGCCCCCCCCCCCCCACACACACACACACACACACACCCACACCCGCATGTGTACAATCACCCATACTCACGCTTACATAGGCATAGAAGTGGGGTACTTCCTTTGTTCTCGTGTACTAAATTTTTTTAATGTCACACATTTTTGTAATGTGACACACCACAATCAATTCAAATCCTTGATTTAGTTGAATATGACACTCTCCAAGCCTCTTAGTTAGACTTCCTCGAGGAGTTTCTGAATAGGATAACCACCAAGTAGTACCAAGTACAATTATGTCAAAATGCTCTTATTTTAACCATAGTTAATTTCCTGGGCTGAAATTCAGACTTAATATCCCTTTTCTAAAACTCTTCCATTTGCGACGAATCAACCCACCTTGGAAATTCCTAGTTTTTCAGTAAAATCTATATATCTATTTCGTGAAAAACTTGTGGGGTACCAAAACAGTACCCCGCAAGTCGGTGGGCATTCCTTGTGGGATACCTCCCATTGTTCCGGTACCACACAAGGCAGTGTTTTGTATACGCACACACACTCATGTTTGGATATGTTTGGAAACCCTCACGAATTGGAATATAAGAAACGGTCAATTCGAACGAAAAATATTTTAAAATAGCTGGAAAAAAACCTATAGCATTAGGACTGATAGGTTTTACCTTGAGTTCAGCGATATCTTCGTCGGTGAAGAGCTTTTCCGGTAGTTCCGCTTTGTTCACTCGCGCCATTTTCCGGATGGTCTTCTCTGCCTGGTCAATCTTACCGACTGTCAGCTGCCAGGCCGGAGACTCGGGAATAAACCTGCAAACACCAGATACAAAGTCAATGTTTTTTTGATGTCATCGTTTGAAATTGTAACATCAACAGCGAAAATAACAGTTCTCTTCAAGCAGCTTCCTCAGAATGAACTGACACATGCCTATAACCGAATCAAAATATATTTTGAACATACTCTCTAATTCAAAAGAGCGAAAGTTCTCTCCCTTCGAGTAAATTCTCTCCCGCAGTCGGAAAATACAGGGCGAGTCAAAAAGAAAGCTACCCAAATTAATGGGGGGGGGTATCTTAAAAGCAATCAAATTTAAACACCAATGAAGTTTATCTGAAAAGAGCATCTCCTTCCGCACATCTCAAAAAAAAATACTGAAATTGATCCATGCTATTAGGAGTTTTGAAGTTTTACTTAAATAACACTTTTGTACAGCTGTCCATGGAATGACATTATAACCTATTTAGCTGGGTGAGTATTACAGATTACACGTCCACTTTCATTGTACTCATTCATCCATCGGTTCGAAGAACGGTAAATGATCAGTGGTAAGTGATCAGCCGAGTTTTGTGATCTTTTTATTTTTTAGATATAACTTGGAAATAGAGAACGCAAATTACGTGAAATTTAATTAAGTCAATAAGATGTACTTTATCCCTTTTTTGTGAAATGGAGCAAGCCAAATATTTTTTTTTAATATGTTTCAAATTGGGTAACTTTCTTTTGGACTCACCCTGTATAGGGACCAGACACTTTATAGTGAAATTTCATTCAGTAGAATAGATCGAGTTTTCACTCGAGCGTCGACTGAAGTGATTTTTTTTAGACTATTTCAATCTAAAATGAGAGTGATTTTCACTTTTAATTTCACTCCAGTCTACTCTTTGGGATTTAGAGAGTTAAGTATAGTTTGTCTTGAAGAGGTTTATCCGATCTATACAGGGTGAGTATAAAAAAAACCAAATGGCAGGACCATTTTGTTAATGAAGTTCTGCGTGTAGCTTTTTCAAAATCTATTATGAATGCCCAATTCATAAGCTTTCTTTTAGTACAAGAATCATCCAAATCACTCAAGTACTTTTCAAATTACGGAATGTTAAACACAACGACCATTTTTAAGTTCTGTCCATGGATCACATCAAATGTAAGTGTTCTTTCAGCAAAACGAAAACAACTAACATTCATCCCCATGTGACTTGTTTTCGTTTTGCTGCAACAACACTTACCTTTTATTTGATCCGTTGACAGAACTTTAAAACTGTCTTTGTGTTTCACATTCCGTAACTTGAAAATTACATGAGTGATTTGAATAATTCTTGTACGAAAAGAAAGCTTATTAATCGGGCTTTCATATCCTAGATTTTTTAAAGTGCTGCATGCAGAACTTCATTAACATATTAATTTACACGACATTGGAAATGTTGCAAAAGGACGGCCATAACAAAACGAGTTCAATCGATCACGCAGATAGCAATAATGGTAAAACGGGAGTTTGCGTCTATACTAGTCAGTGTTTGGAACCTAGACGTTCACATGAAAACAGAACGTGAGCTGGAATGGACTGGATAAAACAGTTTGAATTGCACGGGTTACTTTTTGGGTGAAAATGAAACTCACTGAATTAAGGGTACCCCCCAAAAGTTTGTATTGTCAACATTACTGAATTTGAACAAACTCACGGGATGAAGAAGTCCAAGACAATCGCAGTTATGGCCATCGCAATGGACATGCCTCTCCACCAACGGATGAAATACGAAAAGCCCGCTAAACTCATCATACAAACGGCGCCGATACACATCAGAGAGACACGAACAAGGTTCCGCTTGGACGGGCCAATCATTTCCATGACTGAAAAAAAGTAACAGTGGAACACCTATATTATAGGTTTTCCCGGCTATTTTAAAATGTTTATCATTCAAATTCACCGTTTCTAACATTTGAATTCGTTCATCACCATCGATTTAGTACACTTCCAATGTTTATTTTCGTCTTTTGTCAGACCATTTCAAATTCAGTTCAAGCAAATTCAAACAACGAGCTCACGTTTTTGTCCCGGAGATTTCAATTTCGTCTCGTCGACGCCAAACATTTGTTATTCAGAAATCAAATTGATTGATATCAGACAAATTTGATCTCTGAATGCTGCCATTCTCGCCTAAAGAGGATGACCAAACTTTGAAATTGAATGGTAAATGACTAAATTGGTTCTGTTAATGAATGTTAGAGTTGGTGAATTTGAATGAAAAAGGTATCAGTCGGTAAATAAGTAATGTAGTTAGTCAGTGAGCCAGTTAAAAGCCACGCTGACCCTCTGGGACTTGTTAAAAATAAAGGAATAAACAAATGAAGTGAATGCGTACGTGTTCAGGCAGGGGCGGCGGAACGCTTGCAGGGGGCAACACCAAAAAGGGGCACTGGCTCAGAAACAAGGGCACCTTCCGTCGGTGTGATAATGGAGGAAAATAAAATGGTCCCGTCCATTTCGCTATAAACCTATATGACGAGAAACAAACAATAATGCACACGTTGTCCATCTTGCTCTTTGTCTTTCTTTCACCTATGTAGAAAGACCATTTGGGTTTGTTTTATCGCGAGAGGGGCACTGTTGCTTTTGATGGCCAGTTCAGTGACCATAATTGTTATTCGCGAGAAGAGCTCTTTTTTAGAGGCCAGTTTTCCATCTTGAGAGGGGGCACGCTGAGTTTTAATGTTGTGAGCGGCGCACTAATTGTGCTTTCGAGTGGCAGTTTTCCATCTCGAGAAGTTTTAGCGAGAGGAGCACTATTGTTTTTGATGGCCAATTTTCCATCTCGAGAGGGACACAATTGTATTACTGCGAGGGGGGTATCTGTGCTTTCGAGGGGCAGTTTTCCATCTCGAGAAGGTGCACAATCTTAGTGCGAGAGGGCACTTGTGTTTTGAGGGGCAGGTTTGCATTAAGAGAGGAGTGACAATTTTATTTGTAGCGCTTTCATAATTATGCTTTCATTTGTGTGCGTTTGAGGGGCAGTTTTGTTTTCATAAGGAGGGAAAACATTTATTTAAGCGCGAGAGGGGCATAAGTGTGTTTGCTTGGGAAAATCTGGGGGGGGGAGCAGTGCCCCTGCCCCTCTGACCCCCCCCCCCCCCCACCCAGTTCCGCCGCCCGTGTTCATGTGTACAGTGGACTTTATTTCAAGTCGGGATGTGCCGCCTGGTGATTTAGCAACCTCGTTCCCTCGTCCGCGAGCAGTATGATGCGATTAGCTGCTCTCTTGAACTGCACTAGATTAGATCGTTTGATTAACCCCCCCCCCTTCAAAAAAAAAATGCTTACGTAAAACAAAACTACAGTAGAACACGCTCCCATTGACGAATCCCGTAAAAGTACGGACGACAAAATAGACGGTAAACGACGGAGAAAATGAAGCGACTAGTCCAGTCAACGTCTGTGTGATCAGGCAAATAATGAACGCGGGGCGACGGCCAAATCTGTCCCCTATAGCACCAAAGACGACCACTCCCACCATCCCCACGGCACCGAAGATTGTCAGCGGTAGTTCGTTCAGCAAAGCTTGGTCGCAAACAACAGAAAACTGCAGACAAAGCATCAAATTATGATGAAAGACATATGCAGCCTTCATTATGACCTTTGTACAGTTTTCATGAAAACCCCTGGTGAAGATTAACAAAGAAGAATGATGAATTTAAAAAATCACTCATATGTATAACATTTGCATTTTGTCGTTATGTCATGAAATTGACCGCTTTAGGCCCAAAAAAAGTCTCCGGTTTCTGGTGTGGAGCTTGCCCAAAAAGTGGTGCGGCGACGTGGCTTTTTTTTTTTTACCTAATTTTTTTTGCTTCAAATGTCGGCTGATGACTGCAAATTGTGCCCGACTAAACTTAGTGCAAATATATGGGAGTCCAGAGAGGCCACATAAAGCTTATTCTCGATCATAACCCCATCTAAAAACACGTTAAAATTGTGCAGCAGCAGGATTTTAGTCAAACCAGTGAGTTTGGCGATTTTGAGACATCATCTTTCATTGAAAATTTTTTTTTTTTTCATTTTGCCGACGCGCATGGCTATACGGCGACGCGCGCGCATAACAGAAGCCGGAGACTTGTTTTTGGCCTTACCGGCTATAGTTTAAGTTATATCACACATTCTTCCACTGACCCTCAAAGTGTTATGTCTCGTAGGTGCTGGAACAAAAAAAACGGGGGGAAACGCTATTCGATTTTAACTGTGCGTCAAGTTGCAGCTCGCCCGGCGAAACTTTCTGGGATAGAACCCATGGTGAAGGAGGCAGATAGGCTATTTTGTGCGGATTGTTCACTTTGATGATAAATTTGGCACAGAGTATGTCATGAGAAAGATATTTGGCTATAGGGCCATAGCAGATTGTCCTTTGAAAAACTATTATTCCGTCAAGTCGGTAAACACAATCATCACTAATAACACCGTGCAAGATTGAATTCAAGTTCGATGAAAACTACACACTCTTTAGACTTTTCGGACAATCTATAACCCTTCTTGTTATATTTTTACTGGGCCTATAAACTATAGGATGCAACGGGTAGATATAACATCCCTGCCCCAACCCACCCCCTCCCATCCGTCCTTGAAGCACCGTGGCCTCGCGCGTCTAGACTATGGATTTTTCAATTTCTCTATAATCCTCCGTTTCTGTGTTAAGTCGAATGACGCAGGCTGAGGCCTACAAGAGCTGACTTTCTTGGCTTTTAAAACCTTCCCCCGTTTCACAGAAGAGACTGAAGTCAATTACTGGCGCCCAATGGCCGACTTCAGTGGTATAATAGCCATCTGAGATAAAAAGCTGATATTGAACGTGCGTGGTACGTGGAGATTTACTGGGTTCTTTTGCTGTTGTTTTGAAAACGGCACAGAAATGCGAAGGTTGAAATTGAGCTAAAGCAATAGCTAGGTTGCTTATCCTGGCCTGCTTTGAGAATTTCCCTTCATCTCACATTCTATTGGACAATTATTCTTGCATCAAAAAGAGCAAGGAAACTACTTTATAGCTGTATAATTAAACAAAAATAAGGTTTCTTATTAATCGTTACATCTTCCTTATTTACGTCTGTGAAAACGGCCTGAAATCCTTCAACTTACATGACATTATATACTTAAACATCACAAACTCAAACGACAGATGAGATATAATGATAAACTAGAGGTATGCGTCTGTTTTGAACAGAGCACACGGCTTTTCCGTTGTCCGTATTTTTGTGTTTTTGTTTTCACAACATGAGCATACAGATATGTTTTTCCCTCTTCTGACATATAGGCCTACCATACTCATGCCATTTTGAGCAACTACTGGTCTGCACAATCTGATGCAATCATGACTCCTTATATTTCAAAACTTCAAATACTAATAACGACATTTTCTACTAATAAAAAAGTAAATAAAATAGACGGGTAGAGGGCTATAGATCATTGCAATCAATAACATTGGCGTAGTTAACTTCTATAGTAGAAAAATATACAGGGCGGCAAATCATTTCAACGGCGATAGCCATGCACACACGGTTGAGTGGCAATAGCCAAGTGCGTACAGTACAGCCAAGTGAGTATATAATTTACGTCAATAGAGGGCAGCAGATACATTTAATGTTTAACTTGCATTTATAGCTGCCGGCCGAATGCTAAACAAAACTAACCATTAAATGTATATGCTGCCCTCTGTTGGCGTAAGGAATACTTGCTCTACGTGCGCATTATTGCCCAAAATCGGGAATTACGTGATTTCGTCCGTTTTAGACTAAAAAGTCTCCTTTAAATTTCTGGAAAATCTGGCAATAGGTTAGTTCTTTTAAATTTGTTTCGAATATCGCGATGCGCGTTTCTTTTGCAACTTCGTACCCTGTATATACATGTACTGTACATGTACGTCATTTACGTGTATGTAAGGAGGTGGTTTTTCAATAGACTTGGATTTCGGGCGTTTGTAGCGGTTAGGCCGTGCGAGGCAGCAGGGTACCAGGTGTACTAGATCGGCTCTATTACACGCCGCGGGCGTTGATTACCAATCGCTATAAAAACTGGACCATTCAACCCCTGGTGTCCAAGACTATCGCAGCCTGCGCTCGCTATACTGCATGCATCAGGCATGCGTGAACGTACAACGACGAGTGCGGCATTTCCACGACTCGACTGTAAACAACATGGCTACCACCATGGATGTCACAACATGTGCCGTCACACTCACAACATGCGAAATACCTGCCGATCTTTGCAGTTTCTGGAAACAGCAAAAGCTAATAATGAAAAACCCAAGTTCACCGTACGAAAGGTTTGTTTGTGCCTCATGTTTGCTGTCGAAAAGCTGCAAAGAGACAGCTTTCGCCTCCGCCCAGCAGCATTGGATTTTGTTCCGCAAGGACACGCAACCCGCACAGGCCCGCCAGTGGGATGTAATGATGAAGGTTGAATTCTTCAAAGACAAACTACAAAAACGCAGATACAACCAAGAAGATTTAGCCCTTCTTCCCCAAAAAGGCGAAACTCGCGTGAACTCTAAAAATCGTGCAAAAACCGAAAAGAATATCCCGCTGGTCTTTGTTTTACCCTACAACCCACAAATTAAACACCAGCTCTTAAGCAGGCCCTTCTGAAACACTGGAATCTGATCAGCGATAATGATGTTCTCAGTGCACTCTTTGCGACCCAACCCATCCTGGCATACAAACGACAAAAAAACATAAAAGATGGCCTGGTCCGATCAAGGATTAACCCATCTCCACCATCCAACCAAGGAAAAAACTTGGATGAGGAGAACGTTCAAATCCTATTAGAACACCTTGTATAGAACAGAACTAACATAATGGTCATTTAGGCATGGATTTCGAAAAAAAAAAAATTTAAAATAAGGAATCCACTTAGTCTGATCATTACAAAAAAAGCTAACGCGTAAAATATTCTTTACCATCATCAGCAATACAATAAATACGTACAAAAGAATTAAACAAAGGGTGACTGATGAAGTGCGTAAAAAGGGCACAGAAAATATGCACTGTTTCCCCCGACACACAAAAAAGAAAAACAGGTGGGACGGCATATTATCACCGTATAAATCAAAACATTAAGTGAACTAGAAACAAAAACCACATGTACACAAACCAGTCCCTGCGTCGCCTAAACACCGGATGGGTTTTTTTGAAACTCCCGCTCTCCGGTTATCACCAATCTAATGGGCCCGCTGGCGAGGTATGTGTTGACAAGTTATAACCCACCCATCACCGCAACCCAGCAGTGGAACTGATTTTACTCCCTATATGCGTATTGAATTTCCAAAAAAGGAAAAATAACCTTATAACAAATACGCTCTAGGCAGTTTAGTCATATAACTACACAGGTATCCATACCAGTGCTTGTAAGTCTTAAATAAACGAAAATCTTCCCTAGCTGGTTGCAAACACAATGTTTTTTTTTAAAAAAAAGATCATCAGCTCGCAGAGCCCCTCGTACTCCAATGTTATTGTAACGGACAGTCTATGCACACTTTTGTTGTCATTGCTTTCTAGCACTAGTGCTCCGGCGGAGGGGCTCCGGCGGCGCGCACCTGACCTGGATTTGGGTCTGGCTAGCGCGCGCTCCGGAAATAGGCTCTACAAATAGGTTGGCTAAGTGGGGTTCTTTTGTTCAATTGCGCGGGAAGAACTTGGCTGGATTCCAGGGTTGGGTAAAGTTGTAACATTGTAATACATTTTGTGAAACTGTGCATGTATATGCTGGGAATTTATCAGTTGCAGTTCTGGTAGCGGTGTGGTCAAGTTGGCCGCAGAGTCCGCTTGGCGAAATAAATGAGATCTTCCTTCAGAGTTAGAAATCCCGTCTGTCTGTCCCCTTTTCTTGCGTTTGGCCGGATTTGGCGGACAAGAGCCCAGTAGGATCCCGCTACAAATGGTGGCAGCTGGTGGGATATTGACGGGATTTTGGACCGACTAGAAATGACAGAAAGCACAGCTGCAGTTGAGATCGTGGACGCCATCAACGATGTCATCATTGACGTTCGGAAGGTGGGAGACTCCTTGGAGCGGCAGATTTGTGGATCAGCCCATTCCTCGGACAGACGTAATCCACAGGCAACTGGTTCAGCGGTAGGTGTGTTGCAGAGGATCAATAAAATGATCGCCGAATTGGAAGCGATGTACAGCTCCGATGATTCTACCAGTGCGGATCAGGATGAAGATGAACGACGAGCAAGCCTGTTCAGCGGTCCGGGGGCAGAAGTTGATGTTAGGCCGGGCTGTCGCGTGAATGGGGAGACCACGAGTAGGGAGGCCGCTGCGAGCGATGATAGCCCTGCTGTTGACGTGGAGCCCCGTCCCATGATACTGGCGAGCATGGCAGCTGTCCATCGGATCGAGGTTCGTGGATGCACCGACTTGTCCAGTCCTGATCCAACTGCTGCGGAGAACTTTAGCTGCACATCGATAGCTCCATCGTTGCGGACATCTCCATCGATGCACACTGATCCACCGTTGTGGACGGCTCCGCTGGTGCATGCCGATCAGCCGGTACACGCTGAACTCATCGACCGCCGTACTGCCGGGACAGCAACTC